CTAGAATGGGTTTCAACGTGATGGCATAAATTATTTTGCATGTAAAGTATATACAATCAACAGCTTTGACGGCACAATCTGGGGTGGTTATTAAAGGCTCACCCTCTTTTTAGACACTTATATGGAACCACTAGGTGTTTTACATTCACGTTTATCAGCCACCTCTGTTGTTGAAAACTCCCTTTACCATTTTGTTAAAGTGCACATTTTCAGGGTCAGACTGCAAATTCAGAGATGCAGGCCATATGATTTTTCTCTTTACTCAGAGGCTACATTGTTCATCTGGGCTCTAGGGAGAGAAGTTCTTCCAAACTCTTCCAAAAAAATGTTTTTGGTCATTACGTTCAAATAAAGCATGCTTCTTAAAGCTGCTTTCTTATGTCAATGTCTGTCTCTGTCTGCCCACACCCCCTCCTTTGCCCCTTCTCTTTTTGACAGTCCAAGGTCTTTCATGATTGACACCCTCACTTGCGAGACTTTGAGCAATTTGGTATTTTGCTTATATTTGTTTTTAGCCTCACATACTCTATGAATTACCCAATACTTTCTACTCCATTACTACCGAGCTGACATTTGAGAAACACAGCTTGCTGTTTTATTTTCCTCTCCCATTATTCATCCATCTCCTCCAAATGTATTTTTTTAATACATGAACCCAGTACTAAAAATACACATCAGTTGGAGGTTCTGCCAAAATACTTAGTGAATGAGTAATCCAACTCATCCAAGACCAAAAGAAGTGTGGGGGTCCTCACAGATGAATGAACCAATTTGTCTGGAACCTGACTTCATTAAGACATTAGAAGCATGTGACTATCTGGGATATAAAGTCATTGAGTCAGTCTGACATTCTGCGTAGACCTCATGTCAGCCTCCAGAAACTGACATCCTTCCCGGAATATCACAGATTCAGCCACTGGTTGTCTCATTCATAGCCCAGACATATTTTCTTGTTCAATATCTTTATCTAAAAGTACCGTGTTTCCCCGAAAATAAGACCTACCCATAAAATAAGCCCTAGCAGGATTTCTAAACATTTGCGCAATAGAAGCCCTACCCCGAAAATAAGACCTAGTGATGGGCGTGGCTACGCAGCGCATCTGCACAACCCATGCATTTTGTTGCGGAGCGGTAAAGAAGACGAGCAGCCCTTCTCATCTGCCCCATGAGAGCTCTAGTGCTCGACATGAGAAATTGGGGCCAGTGGCTCTAAAGGAAATAGAGTCATAAGAAATTGAGGATGGAATTCGGGGTTTGGAGAGTTATGATGATGTTCCAGAGGAAGACAACTTAACTATATTTGAATAAATGTAGATTGTTGTACCATACTTAAAAAAAAATAACACATCCCCTGAAAATAAGCCCGAGGGTGTCTTCTTAAGGAAAAATAAACGTAAGACCTTGTCTTATTTTCGGGGAAACACAGTATCATGTTTTTTCGTTTACTTACTGTCTGTATCTTCTGCCTAAAATGTAATTTCATGAAGGAAGCAGGGACTTTCTGAGTTGTTTTCCATTGTGTTCCCAGGACTAAATCAGTGCCTTGCACAGGGTAGGTGCTCAAATTTGTTGAATCAATTGTCAACCCCAAATTCTTCTCTGTAATCTATAGCTGAGCCCCTCATTCAAGCTAGCTTATTATTTATTTTTTTTCTGTAGTCTCCTAATAAGGCCAAATTATTATTTCCTTTTTTGTTTTACTTGGATTACTTCTAAGAATAAAATAATAATGATAGCTGTAATGTACGAGTCCCTGCTACCTGGCTAGTACTGTGCTAGCACCCTAAATAGAGACACTGCCTTAACCTGTATAATCCCCACGGCTGCCCGGAGTGATCTACACTTGTATGTCCTTCTGCAGATGAGAACTATCGAAGCTCAGAGAGGTTAGGTAACTCATTCAGAGTCATGTAGTGCAGAAGCAAAAGCCTCAAGACTTAAATCTACGGTTGCTTTACCAGTTTATCACGCTGCTACTCCTTACCATGAAGTACCAGGTATCTTCTTCAAATTATCAGGGTTTTTATTGATTCTGGATTAGACTGGATTGTTACTGGGTTTTTTATTGGTTCTGGATGGGAGCTAAAGGGAGGGTTGTCAGTTTAAGTGGATTGCTGCCCCTTTTCTCCTATGTCGCAGAGGATTGGGGGTGATTGGCCACCCTTCCTGCTGCTTATCCCTCTGGCTACTTCAGTCCGCCATACCCTTGAGGAACTGCAACATAAAACCAACCCCTCTTTCTGAAACTCATCGATCTTTTCCAGTTATATCTGTAAGCAAATCTGGAGAGGGACTCAAGCCTCACAGTAAATTCCTTCCATCAAACCAGTCCAGATGCTCCTCCTGCTCATAGAAGACCTCACGGTCCACCTGAGTGTGTGACCAACCTTGTCCAGAGTGGCACACTCTGCACACAAGAGCAAACCAGGGGAAGGAATGCTCCTTGTATGCCCTTTGCCTGCCTAATGGCTTTTTTTTCTTCTGGGTGCAACTCTAAGCGCTGCATGGGATGTTTGACGAGCTCCGGCTCTATTTCCTGTCTCCCCTTCACCCAGCCAGCCTTCAGTCACAGCCCCCATCCGTCCTTCTGAACACTGCAACTGCTAACTACCTATTAAAAAAAGGAGTTCCCTTGAATTCATGTGCATACTTTAAAGGTGTCTTATCCCATTAGATCACCATTGTAAATATCATGCCTTTATAGGATGGAGTATATTCTAAAGAATTTTGAAGACTTCATAATTCACTGAATTTCCCCTGCATGGATGTTTTACTTTTCTGAAATACAAACTCCAAATCATTACTCAAGCTCCAGTATGTGTAACTTCCACGCAGTACTTTCTGATTATCCAAAGCTCAAGTCGTGTCTCCATAAAAGTGTGTACAAGCTCTGCAATATCACTTCCCACACAGGATAGCTAGCTCTAGTTACCTACTGTTGAACTACAGTAGACTTCAAGCGCCCTGTGGTCAGGGATTACATTGCACACATCTTTATATTCCCCTCCAATCACCTGGCATTTAGTAGATTCTCAGCAAGTGTTGAATGAATTCTGTGTACACGCAGGTTCCAGTGTGCTTCCCCTGTTGGAACACTTCTAATGACAGCTCACTGCTGCAATATTTGGCCACCTTTATTTGTTGTGCAGATATTATTATTATGAAGTCAAAGTTTTTCTTACATTAAGCTGAGCTCAGTGTCTCTGACACTTTCACCTTTGAAAGTGGGCCCTCAGGACCCACCCAGATGAAGTCAGCTCCTCGTTAAAGATCTAAAAGCAGCTAAGTGCCCTCCCTAACGCTTCTCTCCTCCAGGCTAACCACTGTCACATGCCTGGAGGCTTGTGAGCCTCAGCCATCCTGGTTCCTCTTCCCAAGAGAATCTCTATCAGTATTCCTCTGGAAGGGTTACCGTGCCATGTCCTGAGCATGGAAGCAACACCAAATGCCATGTGATTCTATTGAGCTGACATGATATTTTTAAAAATAACTTTAATAACAGTACATTTTTTAGCATTCCATCAGTTCTTTTTCTGGTCTTTTAAACTGTGGGAAAATCAGATTTCTAAGTAATCCTTCCTACCATTAATTTCATAACCTTAAAAGTAAAACTTGGTTATTTGTCGCTGTTAGAAGATATCCTCTTCGTTTGGGATTTTTAGAGTACTTAGGTCTAGAAGACTGAATTCTGAATATAATAGTGTATTTTGTAGTTAACTGATACCCTCTCTCCTTGGATAAGACTGTAACTCATTGGGTCTTTGAGGATCCAGGTCCTTTCCTCTTTGTGCCCTGCCGTCCCCCAAGTGTTCCTTGGCTGTCTTCCTGCCATGGTCACAAGATGGTGGCAGCAGTTGAAGGAGTCATATCCGAGGGCAACAGGATCCAGAGACAGAACAAACCAACTCTGCCATGGAACTCCTTTTAAGATAAAACCTTTGCCAGAAGTTCCCACGATAGACTTGCCCTCATGTCTCTGTGGCCAGAGTTGTGTCACATGCTCATGCCTAGACCTGTCATTGGCGAGTGGAATAAACCTGCTGTGATTGACTCAGACCAATCAGACCCATCTCCAAGTTGTGGATGGGGTCCCTCTCCTCTGAAGCCCATGGTGTGAGGAGGAGGGTGGACCGTTGAGTACAACTGGGGTTTTGTTAGCAAGAAAGAAGGAAAGCATGGATGCTGGGTAGAGTGCGTAGGAATCTGCTGCAATCCCCAAATCCCCACCTCCACTGACTTCAGTAAGTCCTTTAACCAGAAGTGTATCATGACTGAGTTGGTTGGCTTCGCAAGGACCTGACTCATTGTATGTAGAATAACTTGATCCCACCTATATAAAGTAAACTAATATTTACAAGGTGTAAATCATATACAGTTTCTTCCAAGAATTGTTATAGAGCACCAGTCTGCCAGCATTTACATCACCTGGGCAGTTAGCACCTGAGCAGGGACAAGTGACTCAGTGATGTGATAAAGAGCATTAGGGAAAAAGAAAAGGACAGTTTCTTTACCACATTGATCTAGAACTCTTGGCCACATCTCATCTGTGCTTAGGTGAGCTTGCAGCCCAGCTTCCATGCTGTTTTCCAGTTATCTGTGTCTTTACCTAGAGCCTGCCCCTCTGTGTCATTGCACACTTCTTCCACTTCCCCTTTGTGTCTCCCATTTGCCCTTTGTGTCACCATTTAAACATATGTGACCTCTGTATGCACAGCAGTGACTCTGCTGTGAGCTTTCAGACCACCAGACAACTGCCGGTCCCAGTACGTATCACACTGTAAGGGTGGTCTCCGTGTCAGTCTCTTCAGTCCTTAGGCAAGTTCATGGGCAGCAGGTACCATGTCCGTATTGCTCACTCTCATACCCCATGTGCTTAGCACACTTGACAATTTTTTTACTTAAGGGGTGAATGACTAAAATAGCATTTGTCAACATTACAGCACCGCACTCTCTCTTAACATTGCCAGGTTTACTGGTTTTTTAAAATTTTAACTATCCGCTGAAGAATGTAACTTCTCATCGTCATGCCATGATCCATTTGTGACTGGGGAGGGTGTAAGTCCAATCTTGCATAACTAGCTTTTTTCTTGAGCAGTGGCTCCAAGTACTTCATCATCTTCATCACATCCTGGTCTCATCTGCTTCCACAGCCTTTTGCTGGGGCCAGGGCTGGGGCTGAAAGAGAGGCCCATCTGATTCCTGCAGGAAGAGGGTTTCCCAAAGCATTGGGAAGCATTTATATGCCATTGGTGGTGCTTGTGATGATTTTAAGTTATACAACTCTTTTATTGGTTTTGTGCTCATTTCTATGGTTAGCTTCTATTTATGGCAAATAATCCTTGTTTTCCATTTTCTGTAGTAATTCACTATTTGTTTCCTTTTTTTAAAAAGGTTTTTTTTTATTTTTTATTTTTATTATTTTTTTATTTCAGCATGTTATGGGGGTACAAATGTTAAGGTTATGCAATACTCATAACTTAAAAAAAGATTTTAAAGTAAGCTTTGTTCATAAGAGTCAAAAGTTGGAAATAATTCAAATATTCCTCAACACATAAATGGATAAACAAATTGTGGCATATCTACACAATGGAATATTGTATTAATAAATTAATGAAAAGTAGTAAAAAGAACAAACTATTTTCACATGCAACCATATGGATAAATTTCAAAATCCTTATGCTGAGTCAAAGAAGGCAGGCAAAAACGAGTACATATATTTATAGAAAATTCTAGAAAATGCAAAGCAATATATAGTGACAGCAGATCAATCAACGATTACTTAAGGATGGGGATGAAGTAAGACATGGGTTAAAAAGGAGCATAATAAAATTTTAGGGAGTAAGTGTTTTTTTCTTATCTTGGCTGGGGAGATGATTTTATAAGTGTAAATGTATGTCAAAATTGATCAAATTGAAAACTTTAAATATGCAGAGGTTATTGTATTCCAGTAAAGTTGTTAGAAAAATAAACCAGATCGTGTACAGCTTTGGTAGCCACTGGGCCAAAGTTTTAACTACAATGTAAGTACAAAAGGAAGCTACTAATGGGTTATAAATAAAGGAAAGACATGATTTGGTTACATATTTATTGTGACAGATATGCCTAAAGCATGTTTTTAAAAAATCTTATGTGAAACATGCTCACGCATCTCAAAATCTCCCCAAATAAAGTAGGCACACATACTCAAGTAATCCTTTCTTATACTAATTTGCTACTCTTTGGGATTAGTCTATTTTCCCTCCTGAGCGTGTAGGAAGGTCAAAGCAGGACTGGGGAGACCACGTTGTTTTAGTGCAAACTGAGGGAGCAATGAGGAGACAATGTCGAAACCCAACCTCCCTGTTCCCGCAGTAGATTAAGGAAGAAATGATTACCAGGGACACAGAGCACGGCCACCAGGCGTTTCCTACAGAAAGTCCACAGCGTAGCACCTGTTCTTTCTAACAGTTCTTTGAAAGAGTTGAGGTGCCCAGGAGGCTCGGGAAGCAAATACATGTTCTGTTCCTTTCATAAGAGGATAAGGAAGGAGCCAAGAAATATTAGGCCAGGAAGTTTGACTTTGATCGTGAGCGGGCATCACGAAAGATGAATGAGAGGTGAGATCACGTACCATGTGGACCAGGCTTGGCAGGACCATCTGAGAGAGCCCAGCCTGCCTGAGAGCCTCCATGTCCATTTTCCTAGGAGATAAAGCATGAAAAGAAGTCATAACATAGACGATAATAGAAATCTGGGATTTAAAAATGACTAAAACCCGAGGACGTTTATCTTAGAATGAGTGGCTTGTTTAGGACTTGAATTTAACAATTAATGCCTAGGGATTAAGTTGATAGGAGAGAACAACTCTCTGTCGACTGTAACTTGTTTCTAAGGCGCTTTGAAGCCCTCCAGGAAGCACTTTTGAATTATCTTAAACTTACCAGGTTCTCACTGCCAGAGCATTTTTCTAACACCTCAGAGCTAGGATATTGTTCTGACCGAGGTAGAAATTTCATGCCTCATTTTATCGCTCGCTTCATCGGGGCACTGTACAAACAATTCGAACAAATATGTTGTCAGTGCTGGGAAATGCCTCTTGCGTCCTGCTCTGACAGGAAGTCACAGCTGTTGATTTAGCTAATAGAATTTCTTAAAAGTTCCTTTGACACACAGTGCTGGAAGTTGTGCTTTGTCCTCCTCTGCTTTGAAAGAGTGAGACATTTTTTTGTCAGGGGTCCCATTGCACGTATGTTCACGTAGTGCCACCTGCGTGCTGGGTCGGACGCCCTTCACTGGCGGGTGCTTGCTGGGTGGGGGAGCCGGGCTGAGCAGGGCTCGCTGGAGCTGTCTGCCGGCGGATAACGGTTGATTAACCACAGAATGAGTGAACTTGCATTTCCATCTGTGGCTGCACAGCAGAGGTGAAAGAGGGACTTTTAAGTGAAGCCTAGCTTTGAGTTCAGTACACATCTGGGTGACAGAGTAGACTTTCTGAGGACCTATTTCAAGCAAATTTAATAAAAAAGTAAAGCAGAGCTGCTTCTGACATTTGCAGACCCAGAAATTGCAACCTAGGTTAGTGCCAACCTCCCTAAAATTGTAAGTTCCTAAATATGAAGGAAGCATCGAAGTTGTTCTTTGTTCAGTGCCCTAGAGACGTTTATTCCTGGGAAGATGGAGATACAGACCCAACTGCAGAAGAAAGTTAGGGACTGTCCTTGAGCTCAGCAGTCCCCAAACTTTTTGGCACCAGGGACCGTTTTCATGGAAGAAAATTTTTCCCCAGACTGGAGAGCAAGAGAAGGATGACTTTGGGATGATTCAAGCACTTTACATTTATTGTACATGTTATTTCTATTATTAGTATTACATTGTAATATATAATGAAATAATTATACAGTTCACCATAGACTGGGGACTCCTGCTTTAGCTGATTACTTAAAGTCCTTCCTAGGACTGCTTTTCTCTCTCATTGAGGGAAGACTTAGATGCAAGAGGAGTTAATTAAAACAGATTTCTTCTGGCTTCTGTGTAAATATAGTCAGGAAATGGGAAACCAACTTGTGGAATCCTAGATCATTCTCTAGTTTCGAAATCTTAAGTAAAAACAAGTAAACAAAGAAACAAAAGACCCTTTAACTCGTATTAGTTTTTATTTTCCCATGGCTGTGTTATTAAAACCACCAATAAGAAATCTTGAGATCTTGGCACCAAGATAAACTCCAAATGGGTCACAAATAAAAGCCAACAAAGTAACCAAAAGAAAGATGAAAACTTTTTTCTCATTTATTATATTGGAGGGGAGAAGATATGATATAAAACCAAAACTCAAAGGAAAACATTAATAAATTAAGCTCTGTAGAGTTATACCTCTGTTCTAGGAAAAAAATCTCTGCAGCACAAACACACATATAAACCATGAACAAAGTCATTTTACACTTAAGGATTTGAGATACTGAGCGTTAAATGTTGGCTCTACATATGACATGATAATAGTACTTACTTTCTAAAATTGCTAGGAGGATGAAATGAGTCAATACTTTGTGGCTGCTGTCCCCAAACCCCAGACCACGGTAAGTGGCCTGTTAGGAACGCGGCCGCACAGCAGGAGGTGAGCAGGATAAGGGATGGAAGGTTCATCTGCATTTAGAGCCACTCCCCATGCTCACATCACCGCATAAGCTCCGCCTCCTGTCAGATGACTGGCAGCATTAAATTCTCCCGGGAGCGCAAAGCCTACTGTAAACTCTGCATGCGAGGAAGGATCTAGGTTGCGAGCTCCCTGTGAGAATCTAATGCCCGATGATCCAAGGCAGAGCTGAGGCGGTGATGCTAGCGCTGGGGAGCAGCTGCAAATACAGATTATCATTAGCACAGAGGTTTGACTGCACAGTAAATGTCATGCACTTGAATCACCCCAAAACCATCCCCATCCCACCCCCCTCTGTGGAGGAATTGTCTTCCATGAAACAAATCTCTGGTGCCAAAAAGGTTAGAGACCACTGCTTGATGGCACCTAGAATGAAGCCTGGCATGATAATGCACACTCAGTGTGCATTCGCATTTATTAACGTAGAGGAACACAGGAAAACACTAGATATGATGATGTAAAATCACAAGCATCAGCCAGTCTGGATTCTTTTATGGTAATACAACAATCTAATAATAACTTTTATTTCTTTCCTTTTGTGCACATTAAATTATTCTCGATTTTGACACGTGTACAATTTCATTATTTCAACTGGTAGATAAGACAGGCACAAAGGTGAAAAATAAAAGATCTGATGGTGAAATTAAAGTCTTCTCATGTAAATTCTTATTGAAGTGTCTTCACATTTTTACCTCCAAACAAACACATTTAAGAGGAAAGACAGGAAAGCAAAAATCCAAATATGAAGAAAATGACTGTACTCACATCGTACAAATGACTCGGGCTGTGTTTTCTGAACACGCCTGTGTTTGTTCACTAAAAGACAGATAATAATACAGATTTCAAAAGAAACTGCAGGGCTTATGCTGAATGTGGATGGTTGAGTTTATTTTAGAGCATAAGTCTTCAGTTTCTATGATCTGCCCACTTACAGTAAGTTGAAGTCTTAGCCCAATTTCCATGATGGTCCAGGCAGGTTCATACTCACTCCTCATCCTGAAGCAAAATGGCATTACCCTTGGGTTTTCTCTGGTTTTCTTCCATTAAATGTATTTTCTCTGCCTGCCATCCACCACCCTCACACGCATGTGCGCACACACACACACACACACACACACACACACATCATGTTGCTGACACATCTTTGACTCATCCTTCTGCTCACTTCCCGATAAAAAGCAGCTACTCAATCCAAAGTAAAATAGAGATTACAGTAAAATCAATCACAGTGACTTAAAAATCAAGACCCCCCCCCCAAATCTTCATTGAGGATCTAATTTGGCTTTCTGCTTTGGCATTTTCATTGGGTGCTAATAAGAAACACAATTCTATTGTTGTTTAGTCATAGAGGGAACTATTTTTTTATCCTACTTTTTTCTTTATAACTCCCATACCTGATTTTCTTTTCTTTTTGTAATGATAAGACTTGTATTTTTTTTTTTTTATGCCTTCCAAATACAGACTTATTTCTACCATGATGCATGCCGTGTGGAATAATTAAACTTACCTGGTAGATCTATACCCACATCTCTTTCTCACCCTGCCCGGCACTTACTCAGAACCACGGATCACGCCAGTTAACCACAGGAGTTGAGTTTACGGTGACAGGCTGCTCTCGCACCCCACTGTGTCTCAACTTAACAGCTGAGCCCGAGAGAAAAGGAAAGGAAGGCTATCAATGTTCAGAGCAAAAGCTGGTCAGAGGGAAATGATAAGCACCCAGTTTGAGAAGACAATTTGTCTTAAAGTTCCCTCTTCATTCCTCAGTGAAACAGTCAGAAGACCCCTTGAATGAAACTGAAGACCCTTGGACTTGTAGCTTCATAAAAGGACTTAAGAGGTGACATCACCTGCAACTCGAGCACTTTATGTGAACCAGGCACACTGTGAACACTGTATGTGGATTAATGTGTCCAGTCTTCACAATATCCCTATGAGGTAGGGGTAGGTATCATTTTACAGTTGAGGAAACGGACTCAGAGACATGGAGTAACCTGCCCAAGGCCAAGGAGCTAGTAAGTGGAGAAACCTTCCTTCTTTACCACTAAGCCACCCAGCCTCCACCCCCCATCATTTTGTAGATGAGGAAGCTGAAGCCCTGGGAGAGTAAGTAACTAGCCCACCAGCAGAAAACGATCGGTCCTTCGGTGGGGTCTCTTCTGTTGTCAACCCCCATGTTACCCATCTGTACCCCCCTCTAATGAAACTGGCAACTTTGTGCTTCCAGGGGTTCCCAACACAGGCTTCTTACCAATCCCCTGTACCTCTTTAGTGCTCTCCTCTGTCCATACTGGGTCTCTCCCTGCTGGCCCTCAGTGGTGGGCCTGGGTCTTACTGATCTTTTTCTTCCCAGTGCCTGGCATATACCTGATTCTTAATCCCACTGTGCTTTCTTTTGTGCCTTTGAAAACACAGTACTTCTTGACCTCTCTTGCATTTGGCCCAGACCATCCTATGCTTAACGCCAGTGAAATCACTAGCCCCAGAATGGCTTAAGTGCTTAATCCTAAATTAAAGTTGGGCCACTGTTATAGATGCTGAAGTTTAGGTTTTGCACATGGCAAGTCTCAGGATGGCGTGGTGAGTCTGGGAGTGGCAAATGGTATTCTTCTCTTCTGTTAATTCTTATCAATTGGTAATTACTATGAGGATTGCTGTGTTGAGGACACTTCTGAGGAATGCTCCGCAGTCATTGGGGAAGGCGAGATAGGCTGGCTAAGCCATGAGAGGTACACCCAACACTCGTTCGCTGTCCTGGTTCCAGAGTAGTACACACTCAGCACCTTTGGTTACACTGGAGAATAAATGAGCATGTTCTGAGTTTGTTCTAGTGCCTTCTGACCCGGGAATGTTTCACCCATAAATCCCAGTGCTTCCAGAGAATATTGCTGGACTGTGATTCCAACCACATCATCTGAGAGAAAATAAGCATTCTTACAAATCCTTTTGATTGTAATGCCTGGGAATATCAGTCCTTGGAAGTCCCACCACACTGTGGCAATGTGGTTGAGACCATGTCAGAGAAAGGCCAGGGCTATGGACAGAGATCTGAGAGTCGCTCTGCATGGTGAGTTTGGACGCCAGGGTGAAAGATGAGTGCAGAGAAAGGAGGAAATCTCTAGGGACAAGTGTCAGGAAGGAGGCAGGAGGAGAGTCAGGGAGGGCCCTGTCGAGGAAGCCAAGCAGGTGAGAGGGCATCAAGGCAAGCGTTTGCCCAGTCTAAGTGCCGCAGAGAACGGTGCCAGGCCCTGGGAATAGAAAGATTAGGGAGACATGGCCCCACAGCAAACCAAGAAAGAGCTGGTGAGAGCATTATCTGCAGAGAATTTTAAAATAACAAAAACAACTCAAAATCCAATGCTTTTTTATTATCGCCAAGTACTGACAATTATAAACAATGTCAGTGATAAAAAAAATACTCTTCCCTCAAAAAAATCTATTATTGGCCCAATTTCTAATCAATTACAGTGATTGCTGAGTTTTAATAATCATATATGTAAGATTTATATGAGCAGACTTTTATTTCCTATCTTTTAATAAATATTGTAACATGGAAGATATAACTCAGAGAATCCCCCATTACATAATCGCTACATATGTTTTCTGTGAGTGTAACTTTGGAATGGTTTGACATTGTTTGAGTATGCTTGGGTTGAGTGTGTCTCCAAACCTTTGATATAACATATTCCTGTGTTTAAACAGAATATCTAAAATTAAAAATGATAACAGATTGTAAAGATGAAAAAATGCAACTTGAGTTATTTTAACTGTGCCGTTTTTTGTAAACAGATTTAAAATTTTTTGACCACATAGCAATTGGAAAGCTGCTAGAATTGATCTTAAACAAAGACATACATTATTGCAATTTGGGAAATTTATTAAGAAGTGAGATTTTTATGAATTTCTGCCAGACTTGCATTTCAGACTTTTCCTCTATACCTGTTACTTTGTGTGAAACTTTTCAAAACTATTTTTACATGTGTTTTCAATTAACCATAAGTGAAGATAGACTAAGAAATCTTGTTATTCCTCTATTGCACATGGAAAAAGAATAATTTTGACAAAGTCATTAGCAGATGTGCATAAGTCAAGGAAATAAAAACCATAATGCTGTCATTCATTTCTGGCATAGATCAATTGGCAGGTATGAGGTTTTTTCTTTTGTTTAAAAAACAGTGTTATAGGCCAGGTGCAGTGGCTCACGCCTGTAATCCTAACACTCCAGGAGGCCAAGGTGGGTGGTTCGCTCAAGGTCAGGATTTCAAAACGAGCCTGAACAAGAGCAAGATCCCATCTCTACTAAAAAAAGAAAGAAATTAATTGACCAACTAAAAATATATAGAAAAAATTAACTTGGCATGATGGTGCATGCCTGTAGTCCCAGGTACTTGGGAGGCTGAGACAGAAGGATCGCTTGAGCCCAGGAGTTTGAGGTTGCTGCGAGCTAGGCTGATGCCACGGCACTCTAGCCTAGTCAACAGAGTGAGACTCTGTCTCCAAAAAAAAAAAAAAAAAAAAAAAAAAACCACAGTGATATAATTAAAACACATTAATATGTTTTCACTTATGTGTATTAAAATGTTTTAAAATTTTTTAACCTGACATGACTGTATATATGAAACCCAATAGCAGAAAATTTCTACCGCCCGTCTGCATTTCTTTTCTGGCCACCATCATTCATTTCATTTCATCATTATTACTGAAAACAATGTCATGTTGAGGAGGGAGGCATTCAAAAATTATATTCCTAAGGGGTCAGTATGTCCGGTATGCCACGGAGCGGTCCCCACCCTGGAGGTGCTGCAGCCTTGCCGGGGGAGAGACTGAGCATGATCAGATGAGGTTAACGCAAGGTGCAGATGAGCTGAAAGCAGTGTATGCATGTGACAATTGCTGGTTCTCCAGGGGCAAGGGCTGGGTGGGGAGTTTCAGGAAGGA